TCACACAGGAGAACGAAACTTAGGGTGTCATTTCAGTCCAACTAGTTAATGGTCCAAGTGGACTGAAACGCCTTCACAAGTTTCATTCTCCTATGCCCAGGTTATTTGTGTACTCTCCAGTCATGGTTATGTGCCTTTTTATTCTCTGAACACATTTACTTCTTGAAATGTATTTTGGATATGGTTTAAATTTCATGAGATTAGTTGCTGTCAATGCTGATAGTTAAATGTCTAGTGTGAATTAAGCTTTTGATTTTGAACAAATTGGGATGTTGCTCAGACTGTGATACATGAACTTTTACAGTACAGTTACCACTTATGATAATGCCTCCAATGCTACTGGCATTATATGCTGATGCTTTCTTTACTTGATTTATTGTTGATACCTTAGTTCCATTAGCCGTGATTGGTATCGATAGCAGCAAAGTCTTCCTTTTGCTAAAATTTGGTATTAGTGGCAGTAACTTGTAATGTTAGTACCTATTTTTGAGAGTGGCAGTAACTTGTAATGTTAGTGCCTGTTTTTGAGAGTGGCAGTAACTTGTAATGTTAGTACCTATTTTTGAGAGTAGCAGTAACTTGTAATGTTAGTACCTATTTTTGAGAGTGGCAGTAACTTGTAATGTTAGTACCTATTTTTGAGAGTGGCAGTAACTTGTAATGTTAGTACAGGTCGGCCATCACTAATCTGGCAATCAGTTATGTATCTGGTTCCATCGGTAATCCGACATTAATTTCGGCTAGCATAATTTCAAATTTCCGGGGTTGCCACACCAACCTGCTGCTACTGTTTGGTGGTGCCACTTGCTGCATAAGTCATTTCAATTTCTTTTTCTCCATTTATTGTTATAACCTGCTTACTTTTAGCCCTAGCCATGGTTCGAACGAATGAAAGAAATGCTTCTTGTTGTGTAAAGCACCTACACCGTACATTGTCCATAAAAGATAAAGTGGCTTTGAAACTACTGTCGGTTCCTGTGAGCTCCCGAGTCTCATGATGTGGGGGAATATGCTTTATTATTATGCTAATATCGACACTATGGCTTATTTACCTATCACAATTGATCTAATATGACATAATAAACAATATAAATATAAAAAGCATTGTAAATACCCCAGAATGAATAATAGTAATGATAATACTAGAGGATATGGGATAAAAGTACCATCCTCCTGTCCCTGTCTTGAGGGGCTTATATTAAAAGAAAATGTAGTGTAGTACAGGGATAACTATGATATACACTCATTTTTGTTGATTATCTTGGAAGTTACTCATTTATATCTTAACATAGCTGCATTAATAATGACAGGAATGTAATGAATTTCACAGACAACACAAAAGAACCCCACTGGAAATAAGTCACTTTGTCTGACTTTTTTGGGTTATCCTAGGTTCTCTACACATAGGCTGCTATGTATAAAAACCTATGTAACTGTATTTGTTGTTTGTTGGACTATCTTATTGAAACCTGGGCAATGTATGATGGAAAGATGGTTTTTAACATACACCAAAAATGAAAGAAATCGGATGATAAATAATGGAGTTCACTTTTCAGCCATTAGCCGCCCCTTAGTATATTTTCGTATGTTTTTTATGGTTGTATTCTCATTTATTTGGTCTCATTTGATAGAATGGAAGATATATTACAGAAATAGATATGATTTTGATGGGTTTCATGATGAAAAGTACAGTGGACCCCCTGTTATCGGCTGTTCCTGTTATTGGCCAACTCTGTTATAGGTTGGTTTTTTGGCTACCGGTTATTGGCCATTATTTCGCTTATCGGCTGTATTGAACGCATTCCTCCGCCGGCTGGGCCAGCTTGCGCGTCAGTTTAGCTGTCTCTCAGTGCATGAGGAAGCTTCTGCTCATTCATCCAAACATTTCGCTTGTTTTTCATTGTTTTCGGTGTTTTTTTTGTCAGTGCAACTGCAAAATAAGTAACCATGGCTCCAAAAAAGTTCCTAGTAAAGTTCCTGTGGCAAAGAAAGTGAGAAACACCATGGAATTTAAGCGAGAAGTTATTGAAAAATATGAGAGTGGTGTGAGGGTACTGGAACTTGCCAGGATGTATGAGAAAAATAAATCTACCGTCACTTCCATCCTGGCAAAGAAAACAAATCAAGGAAGCTGATGTTGCGAAAGGAGTAAATGTGATTAGGAAACAAAGGTCACCAGTTATGGAAGGTATGGAAAAGTTATTGTCATTGTGGATTAAGGAAAAACATTTAGTGGGAGACAGTGTTGTGGAGTCGATTATTAGTGAGAAGGCAAGGCAGTTGCATGAGGATCTTGTGAAAAAAACTCCTGGAACAAGTGGTGCTGTTAGTGAATTTAAGGCCAGCAAAGGTTGTTTTGAGAGATTTAAGAAGAGTAATGGCATTCACAGTGTGGTAAGGCATGGTGAGGCTGCCTTAGTCTTCAGTAAAGGTATGTAATACTGATTTAATTGTTAATTTTTTTTGTGAATATTTTTACCTGGAATGGATTAATTGTATTTGCATTAATTCTTATGGGAATAATTATTTTGGTTATCGGCCACTTCGGTTTTAGGCCGAGCTTCTGGAGCAGATTACGGCCGATAACCGAGGGTTGAAATTGAGCTCAAAGTACAGGAAATGTTCAATTATTTGCTGATGTTCAAGAGTAAACAGATGACGTCACCATCCAATAATGTCCAACTGGGCAGTCTAATATGCAGTCATAAATGAGTTGACATTATTTATACAATTATTACAATAATGCAGTAGTCAGCATAACAGTAAATATTTTATTTTTTGTGTGAATAAAAATTCAAAATGGAAAGCAAGAATAATATAAGAGGGGCCTGGAGACGTGACTAATGAACAGAGAAAATACACAAATAACCCGCACATAAAAGAGAGAAGCTTACGACGACGTTTCGGTCCGACTTGGACCATTGACAAAGTCACACTAACCAGTCACACAAGTCGGACCGAAACGTCGTCGTAAGCTTCTTTTATGTGCGGGTTATTTGTGTATTGTTCCAGTCACGGTATTGTGCCTTTTTTGTTATTTAGTTATTTAACAGAGAAAATGTTATTTTAGTGCCAGGAATGTCTGCATTGTTTATTCTGGACCCTGTTTTGAAATTGGCATCTTTTGAAATTTGTGTGAAATTGGCCAAATTGCATGTTTCTGACCACTTTTTTTTGGTAGTTGAAATAGGTGAATGGGCGGTTTCTTGTACTCAGTCGACAGAATAGAAGTAAGATTTTTCAGGTATACACAAATGCAGTTACGTAGATTATCATACATAGCAGCGTATGTGTAGAGAACCTAGGATAACCCAAAAAAGTCAAAGTTACTTATTTCCATCGGGGTCCTTAAAGATCTGTTCTTGTAAGAGTTGCACTGAAGCAAAGGTTCAATGCAATGCTTGTATAAACCTTGCTGAATTTAAACAACACTACAGAAGGCATACTAGCAAAATAGCTATGAGTTTGGTAGACTGGAACAATGGAATGGGCCAAAAATAGTGCATAAATTGGGTGAAATCGCCAATGCATAAATATCACCTTTGTGTTAAGTGTATTCTAACTTAACTACGTACTCCTTAATCCGGCATCCTACAGGTCCCGAGGATGCCAGATTAAGTGATGGCCGACCTGTACCTATTTTTGAGAAAATTTCTGAATAATCACAATTCTATTCCTTTGTAACTTGACTCACGAAATCGTAATGGCACGATAGCAAACAAACCATACCACGAGCGGGATAGAACCCACGATCAAAGAGTCTCAAAACTCCAGACCGTCGCCTTAGCCACTGGACCAGCTACCCACAATAAGTTTCGTCCAACTAGGTATATTTCTACACCATAGGAAGGTTAGCATAAGCACCACTGTGACCACAAATGCAAGTTTTTACAGGCGAATCTCCAGCTAGCATGGCCGTGACAAACTCTAGCTCAAGTCCCCTCAAAGCCATTAACATGACTTACGAAATCGTAATGACACGATTGCAAACAAACCATACCACGGGCGGGGATAGAACTCGTGATCAGAGAGTCTTAAAACTCCAGACCGTCGCGTTAGCCAGTGGACCAGCTAGCTACAATAAGATTCGTCCAACTAGGTATATTTCTACACCATAGGAAGGCTAGCATAGGCACCACTGTGACCACAAATGAGATTCGTCTGTAAAAATTTGCATTATGATTTCGTGAGTCATATTAACGGCTTTGAGGGACTTGAGCTAGAGTTCGTCACGGCCACGCTAGCTGGAAATTCATCTGTAAAAACTTGCATTTGTGGTCACAGGGGTGCCTATGCTAACCTTCCTATGGTGTAGAAATATACCTAGTTGGACGAATCTTATTGTGGCTAGCTGGTCCAGTGGCTAACGCGATGGTCTGGAGTTTTGAGACTCTCTAATCGGGTTCAAATCCCGCCCGTGGTATGGTTTTTTTTCTATTCCTTTGTAAATTGTAAAACTCATTCCCTTCACTAATTACTGTTATGCATGCAGTAACTATCTGGGCAACATGATATTAGGGACTAGGCATTTCAAAATGCACATAGTGTATTAAGCTAGACTACCACCACCTAAAAAAAATATGAAAAAATAAAATTCTAGAATTATCACTTGATGAGAATGAGTGTGTGAGGAAAAGGATGCTTGTCTTTTGCCATCAGTATACTGATGAAGCCTCTCATGGCAAAATATTTCCTTCAATAAATGTCCTGAACTATACATAAGTGTCTTTTTCCACAGTTTGCCATTATCACCACACCATTTACAACCATGACAGTTTATATCTAAATTAACTCAGTGCATTGATACAACTATGAAATTTTCATCATTTACAGTAGACAATTTAATAAGTAAGTAGTCCTAGCAGGCCCTTATATTCATTCTTCTTACTTCATCAAACTTGCTTCAAGGTACAAGTTAACTTGGTTCAAGTTTATATTCACTAGAATTTTAAGAGAAATGTAACTGTGCACATGTTTAGTAAAATTGATTATTTTTACAGTACGAGTTCCTAACTGTGATGTGTATGGAGTGTCATGTTAAGACACGGCCTCAGCTGTTGCCTGACCCATTGCTGGATCCCATCTTGGCTGTCATCTTCACCATTATTCAAGATGTTCCTGATACTCACTCTACTCCTCGTAGCCATAAAGGTACATGCATATTCTGCTCCAGGAGTTACATTTGAATGCATTTGTTCTAATTTGACTTTGTATTACAAAATCACAAATTCAGTTCTGTACTTCTGTTTTCTTTTACAAGGTGCAATTGTGGTGAGCAGTGATGGGTGCAACGTTGTAACTCCTGCTGGTATAACTGACCTCTTAGTACTTCACGTTGATGATGAAATGACCCTTCTAGAGGAAGTTTTAAAGTTGGTTATTACCTGGGATCCTGATATACTTGTTGGATATGAGGTAACTTCATTTTAATAATTATTACAATTATAAACAGTAGTCATGTACAGTACGTTATATACAGTATACAGTGAGTAAAGCAAATTGTGGCCAGTGGTATAGTGTTTTTTAACTCCCAAAAAATGTTCATTACTTAATAATTTGAGAAATATTTATTTGGCCCCTAAATAGACTGTAATAAAACAATTTTTTTTTTTGGCTTGTTTCTTACTAGTCATTATAAAAAAATATTCAGTTGTAAAGCTTTTCTTTCATTATACATTTCTTTTTAAAAATATTGCTGTTTTAGATTAACTTTAGTGAAATGTACCATATACAGAAATTTATTAAGAGATATTGGACAAACTTTTAAAAATATTATGTATTCTTAGCTGAACTTTCTGAAAACAGAAAGGCATTATATTTGTGAATTGAATTATTCTAGGTTCAGATGTCATCTTGGGGTTACTTGTTAGAGCGTGGAGCAGCTCTAGGCATGGAGATAGTATCGCGTCTATCTAGAACTCCAGAGGGCACCGCTAGTCATCATGACGAAGAGCAAGACGAATATGGTGCTGATCATACATCTCAGATACACATGACAGGCAGGATTGTCTTAAATGTGTGGAGGTTGATGAGAGCTGAGGTAAATATTCAGTCATCTTAGGCTATATCACTTTTAATTTGGACATGTGTTTAAACCTCAGTAACCTGTATTTCTACCATTGTGTGAGTGTGATGAATGATCTTTACTTATTGTAGCAAGGAAGAATTTAGAAATGTAGTGTCTGAGAACATCATGTTGTGTCAACGAAAAAGAAATTAAAAAAAATTAAAGACAGTGTAGTGTTATGAAAGATATAATTCAAGACTAGAAGAGGGGCTGGTGAGATGGTGTGCCTTGGAGTATGGAAGAAGTGAATGTGTTCAGATATTTGGGAGTTGACTTGTCAGCAGATGGGTTTATGAAGGATGAGGTTAACCATAGAATTGATGATGAAAAAAAGGTGAGTGGTGCTCTGAGGTATCTGTGGAGACAAAAAAAACATTATCCATGGAAGTAAAGAAAGGGATGTAGGAGAGTATAGTGGTACCAACACTCTTATATAGGTGTGAAGAATGAGTTGTAAATGCTGCAGCAAAGAGACTGGAGGCAGTGGAGATATCGTGTCTAAGGGCAATGTATGGTGTTAAGATTATGCAGAGAATTCAGTGTGGAAATTAGGAGGTGTGGAGTTACTAAAAGTATTAGCCAGAGAGCTGGAGAGAGGGGTGTTGAGGTGGTTTGGTCGTTTAGAGAGAATGGAACAAAGTAGAATGACTTGGAGAGCGTATAAATTTGTAGGGAAGGAAGGTAGGGTAGGGGTCGTCCTAGGAGAGGTTGGAGGGAGGGGGTAAAGGAGGTTTTGTGGGCAAGGGGCTTGGACTTCCAGCAAGCATGCATGAGTGTGTTAGATAGTGAATGGAGACAATGGTTTTTTGGAACCTGACGAGCTGTTGGAGTGTGAGCAGGGTAATATTTTGTGAAGGGATTCAGGGAAACCAGTTAGCTGGACTTAGTCCTGGAAGTGGGAAGTACAAAGCCTGCACATTAACCCTTTGACTGTTTCAGTCGTATATATACATCTTACGAGCCAGTGTTTCGGACGTATATATACTCAATAATTCTAGCGGCTTCAAATCAAGCAGGAGAAATCTGGTAGGCCCACATGTGCGAGAATGGGTCTGTGTGGTCAGTGTGCACCATATAAAAAAAATCCTGCAGCACGCAGTGCATAATGAGAAAAAAAAAACTCCGACCGTTTTTTTTTAATTAAATTGCCGACTTTGTTGTCTATTTTCGTATAGTATTTATGGTTGTATTCTTGTTTTCTTGGTCTCATTTGATAGAATGGAAAACATATTATAGAAATAGAGGTGATTTTGATTGGTTTTACTATGAAAAGAACCTTGAAATGGAGGTGAAATTAGGGGAAATGTTTTATTTTTGCTGATGTTCAAAAGTAAACAAATGATGTCATTTTCCAATAAATGTCCAACTAGCCATTCTAATATGCAGTCATGAATGGGTTGATGTTATTTATACAATTATTACAATATTGCAGCAGTCTGCATAACAAGACATCTCTAATTTTTGTTTGAATAAAAATTCAAAATAGAAAGCAAGAGTAATATCAGAGGGGCCTGGAGACATGACTGATGAACAAAGAAAATGTTATTTTAGAGCCAGGAATATCTTCATTGCTCATTCTGGACCTATTTTGAAATTGCCATATTTTTTAATTTTTGTGAAGTTGGCCAAATTGCAAATTTCTGACCACGTTATTAGGTAGTTGAAATCAGTAAATTGGCAGTTTCTTGTACTCAGTCGATAGAAAAAATGAGTTCTAAAGAATTAGCTATGAGTTTGGTCGACTGGAACAATGGAATTAGTCGAAAATAGGGCTCAAAGTGGGCAAAATCGCCGATTCGTAAATGTCGTCGAGGTCGCTAACTTCGCGAGAGAGAGTAATTCTGTCAGTTTTCCATCAAATTTCGTACTTTTGGTGTTATTACAATTGGGAAAAGATTCTCTTATCATTTTATAAGAAAAAATAATTTTTTTTTTCGGAAATTTTGCGACACCAGGAGACACCTCAGGATTTGGGGTTGCGAAAGTCAAGGGGCTAAAGGAGGGTGGTTGGGATATTGGCTATTTGGAGTGACATCTCAACTGTCATATCTGAGCACATCTGCAAAGACAGTGATTATGCATATATGATGGTGAAAGTGTTGAATGATGATAAAAATTTTCTTCTTTTTGTTTTTTTCTTTCTTTTTGGGTCACCCTGCCTCAGTGAGAAATGGCTGATGTGTTAAAAAAAAAATAATTACATTTAATTTGTCAGATAATGTCTCATTTCTTCATGGTCATTTTTCCTGTGCATCATCCTCTGTGATTTTTCATTTTTCTTCCTTTAACCCACTTTTCTCCATTTTTTGCCTGTCCCTGGGTCATCTTAATACTTGTGTTTGTGTGGTCTTGTTCTTGGGTGGGTGAGGGGTTTCCTTTCTTGAGGAGTCAAATACAGTGGAACCTCGGTTTTTGTGATTCTTCCTTTCGAAAAAGCCTGACGATAACCGAATCGTATGAAAACTGGAGCAATATTTCCCATAAATAATGTAAATTCAATTAATCCATTGCCGACACCCAAAAATATTAAAAAAAAAAATGCATTTTATAGAGAATAACTATAGTTTTATATACAAATTAGGGCATACAAAAACTGAGGTTCCACTGTAAATCTTCCACTCTCCCCATTTTCTATTTCTTTGGAGTGGTACCTGTAAATAGGAATGAGATTTTCCTTTTCAAAAACTTTTCTTTTGCATCTGGGGATAGGGACAGCAGATCATTGTTTGGATCTATCCTGGCACTCCTGACAATTGCAGTATTGTGATGGTCCTATCCTTGATCTTTGGAACTGGACCTTAGAGGTTCTGGCACTTTTGCACAAATTATAGGTGAATAGGCAGGAGGTTGGTGCACAGTACAAAACATTATCAGAGAAGAGAGAATGGCAACTATTCAAAATGTTTGTTTAATATTCTTAAATAGTTAATAGTCTGCTGATTTCTTAGCTAGTAGAATCAGTAGAATGTCTGTAACAGGAACACAAGATGGAGACAAATGGCACAAAGACAGCAAGTGGTGAAAAAGACGCATTTGTAGAGAAGAACTTCATTGAGATGCTTGACTTGTGAAGAGTTTTCAGTCAGTACATAGGGATGCACAACAAGCAAAATTATGCAAGCATAATCAGATGCGTGGCTGTGTCATTTAGGTCACTGCGTAGCAAGAGTTATGAGATGGGAGCACTGAAGGAGGATTTCTGATGACCTGTTAATGTAAATTTTGGGCTACAAATTTGGCTATGTGGAATGAGAGGCAGTTGTAAGTGTTACAACCACTGGAAATTTGATTTTGTTAAAATAGTTTAAAATATTGATGCAGGACACTTTGAGTATGGCTCCTCTTTAGTTATAAATATCAAAAATTGTTAATTACACATGCATACTATACGCAGTATGTGGTTTTTAGATAATGTACAGTGGACCCTCGGTTATCGGCTGTAATCTGTTCCAGAAGCTCGGCCTAAAGCCGAAATGGCCGAAAACCAAATATTTCCCCATAACAATTAATGTAAATACAATTAATCCAAATTTGGTAATTTGGTAATAAGTAATACATATTTTATGAAAAAGAGGATAAACAAATATACAAGGTATGATGTAGCACGTAATGAAAGTAGTTTGTTAGATTATGTATTGGTGGATAAAAGGTTGATGGGTAGGCTCCAGGATGTACTTGTTTATAGAGGGGCAACTGATATATCGGATCATTATTGAGTTGTAGCTACAGTTAGAGTAAGAGGTAGATGGGAAAAGAGGAAGGTGGCAACAACAAGTAAGAGGGAGGTGAAAGTGTATAAACTAAGGGAGGAGGAAGTTCGGGGGAGTATAAGCGACTATTGCAGAAAGGTGGGATAGTGCAAAGAGAGTAGTGGGGGGGGGGTGAAAGGGTTGGAATAGTTTTAAAAATGCATTTGGGAAGGGGGGCAAAGTTTTTTGGTTTTAGAGGGTGGGGCAGAGGGAAGAGGAGTGATTGTGAAAGATGAAGGGAAAGGTTGATAAAAGAGAAAAAGGTAGCTTATGAGAGGTTTTTACAAAGCAGAAGTGTTATAAGAAGAGCAGAGTATATGGAGAGTAAAAGAAAGGTGAAGAGAGTGGTGAGAGAGTGCAAAAGGAGAGCAGATGATAGAGTGGGAGAGGCACTATCAAGAAATTTTAATGAAAATAAGAAAAAATTTTGGGGTGAGTTAAGCAAGTTAAGAAAGCCTAGGGAAAGTATGGATTTGTCAGTTAAAAACAGAGTAGGGGAATTAGTAGATGGGGAAAGGGAGGTATTAGGTTAGATGGCGAGAATATTTTGAGGAACTTTTAAATGTTGAGGAAGAAAGGGAGGCGGTAATTTCATGCACTGGCCAGGGAGGTATACCATCTTTTAGGAGTGAAGAAGAGCAGAATGTAAGTGTGGTGGAGGTACGTGAGGCATTACGTAGAATGAAAAGGGGTAAAGCAGCTGGAACTGATGGGATCATGACAGAAATGTTAAAAGCAGGGGGGGATATAGTGTTGGAGTGGTTGGTACGTACTTTTGTTTAATAAATGTATGAAAGAGGGGAAGGTACCTAGGGATTGGCAGAGAGCATGTATAGTCCCTTTATATAAAGGGAAAGGGGACAAAAGAGATTGTAAAAATTATGGAGGAGTAAGTTTACTGAGTATACCAGGAAAAGTATACGGTAGTGTTATAATTGAAAGAATTAGAGGTAAGACAGAATGTAGGATTGCGGATGAGCAAGGAGGCTTCAGAGTGGGTAGGGGATGTGTAGATCGTGTTTACATTGAAGCATATATGTGAACAGTATTTAGATAAAGGTAGGGAAGTTTTTATTGCATTTATGGATTTAGAAAAGGCATATGATAGAGTGGATAGAGGAGCAATGTGGCAGATGTTGCAAGTATATGGAATAGGTGGTAAGTTACTAAATGCTGTTAAGAGTTTTTATGAGGATAGTGAGGCTCAGGTTAGGGTGTGTAGAAGAGAGGGAAAATACTTCCCGGTAAAAGTAGGTCTTAGACAGGGATGTGTAATGTCACCATGGTTGTTTAATATATTTATAGATGGGGTTGTAAAAGAAGTAAATGCTAGGGTGTTCAGGAGAGGGGTGGGATTAAATTATGGGGAATTAAATACAAAATGGGAATTGACACAGTTACTTTTTTCTGATGATACTGTGCTTATCGGAGATTCTAAAGAAAAATTGCAAAGGTTAGTGGATGAGTTTGAGAGTGTGTGTAAAGGTAGAAAGTTGAAAGTGAACATAGAAAAGAGTAAGGTGATGAGGGTATCAAATGATTTAGGTAAAGAAAAATTGGATATCAAATTGGGGAGGAGGAGTATGGAAGAAGTGAATGTTTTCAGATACTTGGGAGTTGACGTGTCGGCGGATGGATTTATGAAGGATGAGGTTAATCATAGAATTGATGAGGGAAAAAAGGTGAGCGGTGCGTTGAGGTATATGTGGAAACAAAAAACGTTATCTATGGAGGCAAAGAAGGGAATGTATGAAAGTATAGTAGTACCAACACTCTTATATGGATGTGAAGCTTGGGTGGTAAATGCAGCAGCGAGGAGACGGTTGGAGGCAGTGGAGATGTCCTGTCTAAGGGCAATGTGTGGTGTAAATATTATGCAGAAAATTCGGAGTGTGGAAATTAGGAGAAGGTGTGGAGTTAATAAAAGCGTTAGTCAGAGGGCAGAAGAGGGGTTGTTGAGGTGGTTTGGTCATTTAGAGAGAATGGATCAAAGTAGAATGACATGGAAAGCATATAAATCTATAGGGGAAGGAAGGAGGGGTAGGAGTCGTCCTCGTAAGGGTTGGAAAGAGGGGGTAAAGGAGGTTTTGTGGGCGAGGGGCTTGGACTTCCAGCAAGCGTGCGTGAGCGTGTCAGATAGGAGTGAATGGAGACGAATGATACTTGGGACCTGACGATCTGTTGGAGTGTGAGCAGGGTAATATTTAGTGAAGGGATTCAGGGAAATCGGTTATTTTCATATAGTCGGACTTGAGTCCTGGAAATGGGAAGTACAATGCCTGCGCTTTAAAGGAGGGGTTTGGGATATTGGCAGTTTGGAGGGATATGTTGTGTATCTTTATACGTACAGTGGACCCCCGGTTAACGATATTTTTTCATTCCAGAAGTATGTTCAGGTGCCAGTACTGACCGAATTTGTTCCCATAAGGAATATTGTGAAGTAGATTAGTCCATTTCAGACCCCCAAACATACACGTACAAACGCAGTTACATAAATACACTTACATAATTGGTCGCATTGGGAGGTGATCATTAAGCGGGGGTCCACTGTATAAGCTTCTAAACTGTTGTATTCTGAGCACCTCTGCAAAAACAGTGATAATGTGTGAGTGTGGTGAAAGTGTTGAATGATGATGAATGTATTTTCTTTTTGGGGATTTTCTTTCTTTTTTGGGTCACCCTGCTTCGGTGGGAGACGACCGATTTGTTGAAAAAAAAAAAATTTAATCCGTTCCAGACAAAAATATTCACCAAAAAAATACTTTTTTTTTAACAATTAAATCAGTGTTACATACCTTTATTGAAGACTAATGCTGGCTTCTGGAATCCCTGCTACACTTCCTGCATGCCTGCTACATTTCCTGCATGCCTGTTACACTCCTTGTATACCTGTTACACTTCCTGCATGCCTGCTACACTTACTGCATATCTGCTACATTCCCTGCATGCCTGCTACACTCCCTGCATGCCTGCTACACTCCCTGCATGCCTGTTACATTTCCTGCATGTCTGCTACACTCCCTGCATGCCTGCTACACTCCCTGCATGCCTGTTACACTCCCTGCATGCCTGTTACACTCCCTGCAGCCCTGCTACACTTCCTGCATGCCTGCTTCATTCTCTGCATGCTTGCTACACTTCACGCTTAAATTTCATGGCGTTTCTCACTTTCTTTACCACAGGATTTTTACTAGGGTTTTTCTTTGGAGCCATGGTTACTTATTTTGCAGTGGCACTGCAAAAAACGTACAAAAAACAATGGAAAACAAACAAAATGTTTGGATGTTTGAGTAGAAGCTTCCTCATGCACTGAAAGACACAGCCAAACTGATGCACAAATGGCCCCAGCCGGCGGACGGACGCGTCCAAAATGGCCGATCGCTGAAATAATGGTCAATCACCGTGAACCGAAAAACCGGCTGATCACCGAGTTGGCCGATAACAGGAACGGCCGATAACCGAGGGTCCACTGTATGATGGTAGCTTTTTACAGTTCATATATTCCACTTAGTACATAATTAAGTTTTCACTTAGTGACTTTACCTTTAACTGATCTATTACAGATACCTTTCATTTACTACATTAGTCTTATAAGCACTGAATTACTTTGTATGAGGGACAAATTTGTTTATTTCTAGGTGGCACTCCAGAGCTACAGCCTGGATAATGTTGCATACCATGTTTTGCACATCAGAGTACCTTCTTTCTCCCATGATAAACTCAGGGATTGGTGGATGCACAATATAACCAGGTAACTTTTTTTTTATTTCATTATTGATGATGCACCCTTAATATTATTCATAAATAGAAATGTGTATTTGTACATATACATATTGTATTTACATTACTTAAATTTATTTTTCTAGGTGGCGAACTTTGGAACATTATTTAAATCGGTGTCGCCTTACAGTTGACTTAGTACAACGGCTTGACCTAATTCATCGAACTGCTGAGCTAGCCAGGCTTTTTGGCATTCAGTTCTATGATGTTCTGGCACGTGGAACTCAGGTTTGCCTTTTTTTTTTTTTTCCAACAAACTGGCTGTATCCCACCGAGGCAGGGTGACCCAGAAAGAAAAAAGTTTCTCTTTTTAAATTTAGCAATGTATACAGGAGAAGGGGTTACTACCCCCTTGCTCCTGGCATTTTAGTTGCTTCTTACGACACATGGCATATGGAGGAAGAATTTTGTTCCACTTCCCCATGAAGATTGCCAAATAGTTATCAGTGTTTGAAAGATATTACATATAGAGGAATGGTAGTCTATGCATTTGGTACATGGGTGTGTTTCACATGAATAAGTTTAAATGGTTAAATTATTTTTTGAGGGTTTCATGATAAAAATAGAGATAATTAGATTGATGTTACTAATTGAAATGAAATTTGAAAGTCGGTAATGGTCACCCTCCAAGATAAGGTGACCTTCCCAAAAACAAAAGCCATCCTTCATTCAGTAGCTGTCTTTGCCAAAAGTACATAAACATCAAAATTCAAATGACCTTCCAAACAGTAATATCCCCGTCCATCTTTCAGAGTGCGGCTACTGTAATTCCTGCTTCTAGGTTTCAAATATAGCTAACCAGTTTTCCTGAATTCCTTCATTCAGAAATGTTACCTTGCTCACACTCCAGTGTGTCAGATTTCAAAAATCACTTAGTCTCCACTTGCCCCAATTGAACACATTAACAAGCCTGCTGGATGCTCAAGCCCCTACCACTCAAAACCTATCTCACCCTCCAACCCTCTTAGGATGTCCCATACCCCTCCAACCTATACCCTCCATCCTGGATTTATGAACATTGGCCGGTCTATTCTGTTCCATCTTCTCAAATGCCTAAACCCCCTTTATAGCTCATTTTCTGCCTTCTGAATATCTTTCATAACATAACCCTACCCCATCTTTCATTTTCTATGCTTTGAATTCTATTCATAATCAAATCACACATTGCTCCCTACTATGACATCTCCACTGCCTCCAGCCTCTTTCTGTTCATTGGGGTGGACTTGATTGCCTTCCATTTCCCAAGGCACTCTGTGACCCTACTGGTTTAATGCTTCCCTGTGAATGCAATAATAATAATAATATAATAATAATTCTCAATGGGAAAGTGGAGATAAATCCTTCCTCTGTAAGCCATGTGTGTTATAAGAGGCAATTAAAATGCTGGGAGCAAGGGGCTGGTGACTCCTGTATAAATAGTGTAAAGAGAAAAACTTTTTGAAAGTGATTCTTCTTTTTTGGGTCACCGTGCCTTGATGGAAGGTGGCCAGTGTGTTAAAAAAGAAATACTATTAATAATCCAGCCTCTTCCTTGCTGTAGTGTTTAAACTCCATTTTTTACACCCATGTAAAAGCATTGGTACCACTGTGTTCTCTCCCCTCTCTTTTTTCTTCCATAGATAAACTTTCCACAGACACCTCAATGCATTTAATTTCCTTGCAGTGCTGTGTGACCCTTATGGGTTTAGTGCTTAATTTACAAGTTACCCTTGTAATTTGTCTGCTAACCTTTGCAACTTCTCTTCAGAATCTTCTAAAACATACAGTAAGTCATGTAAGATTGCATCAAGTGTGTCAAAAGGAAATGTTTATTACTGTCAGGTTATAGTCCACATAAAGTATGTTTACCTCTTGAACAGTGCTGTAATTTTCATAAAAGTAATGATGATATTTGAAAAGAATATCTTGTACAAAATTGTGCGTGAGCGTATTAGATAGGAGTGAATGGAGACGAGTGGTTTTTGGGACATGACGAGCTGTTGGAGTGTGAGCAGGGTAATATTTAGTGAAGGGATTCAGGGAAACCGTTATTTTTATATAGCCGGACTTGAGTACTGGAAATGGGAAGTACAATGCCTACACTTTAAAGGAGGGGTTTGGGATATTGGCAGTTTGGAGGGGTATGTTTTATATCTTTATATATGCTTCTAAACTGTTTTATCTGGGCACCTCTACAAAGACAGTGATTATGTATGAGTGAAGTGAAAGTGTTGAATGATGATGAAAGTACAGTATTTTCTTTTTGGGGATTTTCTTTCTTTTTGGGTCACCCTGCCTCGGTGGGAGATGACCGACTTGTTGAAAAAAAAAAAAATCAGATCTGTTGTGAAAGTAAAGAAAAAATGTACTTACAACAACTGATTCTCATTAAATACTTTCTTTGCAGTTTCGGGTAGAGTCAATGATGCTTCGCTTGGCTCGAGGCTCAAATATGGTGTCCATATCTCCCAGCATTCATCAGAGAAGTGCTATGAAGGCACCAGAGTGGATTGCCCTTACCATGGAGCCAGAGTCAAGGTATTACATATGACCTATGTTTGTATGTAGTTCTTTCTTTTTATTTTAGTCAATCTTTTGTTTTGCTGGCATTTATTCCCATTTTTTAAATCCATATCAGCAAGACTAGCCTAAAGTTTAAGAAAGTCCTCTTTCTTGCCTTTTATATACTGTATATTATCACATTGCTAATTTCCATTTGTTCTAGGGTGAAGCATTTTGTTTTTTACTTCATCTTTCCCACCAACCATTTCTTGTTTTCTTCTGTACCCACTCTCCTATTGCGACATCTGCTTCATTAGTTACTTTGATCTTCTAAAGCCCATGCATACATACAAATTCCTATATTTGCTATATGTAATATGATGTTTAGGTGAATTACTATGTAATTACCTTTTTTACTTGCTACTGAAGGAGGGGTTTGGGATATTGGCAGTTTGGAGGGACATCTAAACTGTCGTATCTGAGCGCCTCTGCAATGATTGTATTTAAGTGATGGTGAAAGTGTTGAATGATGATGAAAGTTTTTTTCTTTCTTTTTGGGTTTTTCTTTATTTTGGGTCACCCTGTCTCGGTGGGAAACTGCCAACGTGTTAAAAAAAAATATTAATGCTATCCATTATTTTACAGATTTTATACAGACCCGGTGGTAGTGTTAGACTTTCAGAGTCTTTACCCATCAATCATGATTGCATACAACTATTGCTATTCTACGTGCCTTGGCCGAATTAACTTAATTGATGGCCCACAACCTATGGAATTTGGGACTACATATTTGCATATACATCCAGATGAGCTTGTTAAATGTGTTGATGAGGTGAGTAGTTTCTTACTGAAAGTGGGGGAAGGGGTAGCAGGAAAATTTCTGTGCATACTTATTTGAGCTTGGCATGAGAATGGTGAAGGGGTGGATGTGAGCTTTACCTTCTGGTTCTGCTGAACTTTCAGCTGCTGATACAAAAACCATTTCTGTACCCATGCTGGTGTCCTATAAGGAATTTAATGATTTCTAGATGTAGGTAGTCTCTTTCAATCATCTCTAGCAGTTTGCACTTTACAATTCCTACCTGTCTTCTTTCCCTTCAGTATTGATTTACATGCTATCTTCTAATTGTCTGGTATTTGCCTTTGTATTAATGACTTTTTAAAAGTGTGTGAGTGGCTTGAACAGTATTCCATTTACTACAAAGAGAATTAAAGCTAGTACGTATTTAATAAACAGAGGCAGTAGATTTAAGGAGATTTGACAATACTTCTTACTGTGCCTGTTGTTGCTCTTGATTCTTTTGCTACTTTGATGCTAGTAGTTTTGCTACTATTTCTACTGTTTCTTTCATGCTTGCACAGGTAGTAGGTTGGTAGACAGCAACCACCCAGGGAAGTACTACCGTCCTGCCAGATGACTGTGAAACAAAAACCTGTAACTGTTTTGCATGATGGTAGGATTGCTGGTTTCTTTTTCTGTCTCATAAACACGCAAGATAACAGGGATCCTTGCTACTCCACTTAAATTTTGGGGTCACACTTAAAAGGGCCACGCCATGCATTAAATATAAATGGGTTTTTTCCCTTTTTTCAAAATTTCTTTGTTCTTTTTTTTATTTCTTCAATTGCCCGGGGGAAGTGGAAAAAAATTTTTCCCTTGAAAAAAAGCCATCCCGTGTCGTTTGAGGCGAAAAAAATGCCAGGAGCAAGGGGCCCAAAGTAACCCCTTTTGGGTATACAATTACTAAAAAAGAGAAAAAAGAAAAACTTTATAAAACGGGGTTGCTTAAATGTGCGTGGATGTAGTGCGGATGACAAGAAACAATGATTGCTGATTTTATGAAAAAAAAGAAGTTGGATTTTCCCCGGCCCTAACAAAACCAAAGGGAAAAGGGGGGGGTAGGAGGTTTCAGGGGGGGGAAAATAAATGGGTTTAAAATCTGGAGTATCTGAGAGAGTTAGAGCAAAGGAAGGGGTAGCATTAAATGTTAAATAAATCGGGTTATGAAGGAAAAAAGGAAAATTGATTTTAAAATTTCAAAATTTTTTGGGATTAAAGTAAAGGTTGGTGCGAGAAGTGGGTTAAAAGGGGTTTTATGCCCCGGGGAGAAGAGGGGAAAAGCAGAGGAGAGAGAGTTTTTTTGGGGAGATGTTAAGGGGGAATGAAAAAGGGGCCCTTTTAAACCAAGTAAAGAGAGAAATTGGGGGGTGGGGGACTTGAATGTAAAGTAGGAGAAACTTTTAGAAGGGTGTGGGTAGGAAATTTTTTGGGGTGCCAGGGGGAAAATTGATGGGGGGAAACCCCTTTTGATTAAATTTTGTAAAAAAAAGGGGGGTTTAGTTATAGGAAAATAATATTTTTAAGAAAAAAGGGGGTTTAAATAAGTATACCGATAGGGTGTAGGGGGGAAAGGGACAGTAGTTTTTTGGGATTATGATTGGTAATAAAAGCCGGGTTGAGTAATTCGGGAAATTACATGTTTATAGGGGGCCACGGGGTTTTTTTTTCCAGATCCTTTCAGTTTACAAAACACGGGGGAGTAAAAGGTAGAGGGGAATACAAGGAAAATGAAGCATAAAGGGAAAAAGAGAGGGTTGAAGGTTTATAAACTAAAAAGGAGGAAAGTTGGGGAAAGAAAAAAAACAGCTATTGGAGGATAGTTTGGGCTAATGGAGCATAGGAAAGGGGGGTTTCGAAGAGGTATGGGGTATTTTTTAAAAAATTTGTAGTGTTAGGTTTTTCCCGCGGGAATTTGGGGGTTTTAAAAAAAAGGGGGTTTTGGCGGGAGGGAAGGAGGTTTGGGTGGAATGATGTTTAAAAGGGAGAGAGAAAGGGGGAAGAAAAAGTTAGCATATGAGAAGTTTTTAAAAAAGTAAAAGTGATGCAAGGGGGGAAGAGTTAGGGAAAGAAAAAGAGGAATTTTAAGAGAGTGGGGAAAAAATGTAAAAAGAGGAAAAATGAGAGAGGGGGTGAGATGTTATCAAAAAAATTTTTTGTTGAAAATAAGAAAAAGTTTTGGAGTGAGTTTAAAACAAGTTAAGAAAAGCCTAGAGAAAAAAATTTGGTTTTTGTCAAAAAAAATGGGAGGGGAAAGGGGTTTTTTTAAAGGAGAGTTAAGGTTTTGGGGAAGTTGGAAGGAAAAATTTTAAAGGAATTTTTTTAAAGTTGAAAAAGATAGGGAAGCTGTGTTTCGTGAAAGGGAAAGGAGGAATAACATTTTGGTAGGAGTGGGAAAGAGCCTTTTTGTGAGGGGTGGGGAATTTTCGGGGGGCGGTGGGTAAAATGAAAGGGGGAAAGGGCACCCGGGTTTGAGGGGAAATAAAGTTTGAAATTTTAAAAAGCAGGGGGGGAAAAAGTTTTGGAGGGGGTTTGGTTTGAAATTTAATTTAAAAAATTTGTATGGAAGAAGTAAGGAACCTAGGGATTGGAAAGGGGCATGAATATTTTCCTTTGTAAAAAGGCAAAGGGGATAAAAGAGAGTGCAAAAAATTTTTGGGGGGATAATCTTTGAGTGTCCCGGAAAAAGTGTATGGTAGAGTTTTTAATGAAAGAATTAAGGGGAAGACGGAGAATGGGATAGCAGATAAACAAGGAGGCTTTGGGAAAAATTTTAGGGGGTGTGGGGACCGGGTGTTTCCCGTGAAATATAAAGTAAACCCGTTTTTTAATTAAGGGCCCAAAAGAGGTTTTTGTGGCTTTTTTTTGGTTTTGGGAAAAAGGGCGATGACGGGTGGTTAGGGGGGCCCAATGTGGCAGATGTTAAGTGAAATGGTTAGGGGGTAGGTTAAAAAGCAGTGAAGAGTTTTTCGAGGATAGGAGGCCCCAAGTTAATTATTTTAGGAAAGGGGGAAAATTTTTTTTCCCAGAAAAATGGGCCTTAGACAAGATGTGTGATGTCACCGGGGTTTGTTTAATATATTTATAGGGGGGGTTTTGAAAGGGAAAAGAAATCCCGGGGGTTTTGGCAAGAGGCGTGGATTTAAAAGATAAAAAATAAAACCCCACAAAGTGGGGAGTTGTCACAGCTCCCTCTTTGTGGGGGCCCACTTTTTCCCTTTTGGGAATTCTGAAGAGAAGTTGCAAAAATTGTGGATGATTTTTGGGAGGGTGTGCAAAAGAAGAAAAATTTTTGGTGAATACAGGAAAGAGTAAGGTTAAAGAGGATTAAAAAAAAGATTAGGGGGAAAATTGGGAAAATTTAGATTTTGGGGGGAGGAGTATGGAGGAGGTGAAAGAAATTTAGAATTTTGGGGGTGGACGTGTCAGAGATGGGTCTATGAAAGATGGGGGGAAACAAGAATGTTTAGGGAAAAAGGTGGGGTGGTGCACTTAGGAGGGCTGTGGAACAAAAAAAACTTTGTCCCCTTTGGGGGCAAAGATGGGGGAAAGTATTTAGTTATTTTTTTACCAAGCCTTTATGGGTGTGAAACGTGGGTGATGAATGTTGCAGCGAGGAGAAAGGTGGGAGGCAGTGGAGATGTCTTTTCAGGGCAAAAGTGTGGGGGGTGAAAAATAATGGGAAGAATTTTGTAGGGTTTTGGGAAATTGGAGGAGGGGGGGATTAAAAAAATGTTGTCCGAGGGCTGAGGAAGGGTTGTTGAGGTGGTTCGGACATGTAGAGAGAATGGAGCGAAACAGAATGACTTCAAGAGTGTATCATCTGTTTGGAAGGAAGGCGGGGTAAGGGGTTTGGCCTAGGAAAAGGGGTTGGGGGGGAAAGGGGGTAAAGGGGGTTTTGTTGTGCGAGGGGGGTTTGGGCTTTTTTTGGGGAGGATTTTGGGGAGCGTGTTTTTATAGGAGGAAGGGGGACAAATGGTTTTTAAAATTGACTTTTGGTTTGGGGTTTTTGCAAAGTAACCTTTTTTGAAGGGATTTAGGGGGGAAAACCCGGGAGGCCGGACCCTTTAGTCCTGGAAAAGGGGAAATACAGTCCCGCACTTGAAGGGGGGTTTAATGTTGCCCGTTTAAAAATGTAGGGAAAGGGAAACCCCTTTGGCAAGACAGTGATGGAGTGTTTAAGGTGAAAGTTTTTTTTTTTTGGGCCACCCCGCCTTGGTGGGGAAAGGCCGGTTTGATAATAAAAAAAAAAAAAGGGGCTGTAAATTTTTTTTTTTCTTTGATATTGGCCAGTGGTTTTTTTGGGAAAGCACTTTTGGCATTTTGATGCTGTTTTCTATATGGTGAAAAGCAGTGCTGCTGTTCGTGCTATTCATGACGCGGCACAATTTGCTGTTAGTGGTACCCTTTTATGCAGGGAAAAAGTTTCTACTGTTGCTGCTACCTTTTTAAAGTCCAAGCAGTGTTGATGGTATTTGGGCTCCCCGCAATGTTGATGTTTTCTTTTTTACTGGCCCGCAGTGGTTTCTGTTTTCTGCTACTTTAATGGGTGGCAAAGTGCTTTCTGTTGCTGTTAAAATTTGGGTGCTAATGGGGAATATTGCTATTGCTGCTTTTGTGCTGCTGTGTGTGCTGTTGCCAGAAAAGCTTGGGTTTTTAATGTGTACCGGAGTAAAACCTAGAGAGGCAAACCCGTCGTGACCCGACCTCATGGTGGATCAGGGCCTTTAAACCCGGCTTGGTTTTTGCTGGCCACGGGATAATAAAAGACAGGTAGGTTTCAAGAGAAAATGACCCTTTGTTCAATTATGAAAAACAGAAGTTCAGAACAAAAATTTTTTTTTGGGATGATGTTTCCCTTTTTGTGAACAGCAAGCTGTTGTCCCCCAAAAAGCTTGGGCTGCAATTTGTTTCTTTGTTTAAATTTTTCATTAAAAATTTTGCCCCCCCAGAAGGGGGCTGCAAGTGGGGGCAATTAATTTTTTAGTGGTAGC